AAAGAATGAGTACAAACTGTAAGACTTTCTGCATGGTAGAGGAAAAAAACACATCTATTAATTTAAAATACTTTAAAAAACTCCAATATGCATTTTACTAATAAAACCAAGTAATCTCTAATTAAAAAAAATAATCTCAGAAACTAGAAAGTAAATATCTTACAATAAGACTTATAACACCATGATTCCACTGCAGTTTTTTATACAAATACAGAGCACGGTGTTTAGCATGGAGACAGAAAATACTGACTCCGTAACAAAAAAAAAAAAAAGGAAAATCTGTATGTGAAATGAGCCACAAGAAACTTTGAGAGATTATGAGTCAGATGACCAGCTGATGTACTTTAAAAATGGCTAAGTTCGATGAAATTATGTTTCATTGTTCATAACACTCAAGATCTTCCCGAACATGATCACGGGAAAGCAAATAATTTCCCTCAGCACAGTGTTAATTTTCATATACTCAGAAGATCTTTCTTGAAAGAAAATCAGATGGGAAGAAAAGAAAAATGAAACAAAACCCAAGATACTTTCAGAGTTCTGAAATATTTTTAATTATCTAGACAGTCCTCACTACATATAATACAAATTTTGGCAAGCTCTCTAAAAGGTTCTCCCAGACAGAATTAAATTATTTCATTTATTAAGGAGGTTATTCAAACTGTCCTGTAAAATTTCATTTCAAACAGATAAATTTAATAAAATGTATTTAAATAATAAAATTACTTGTTTAATTGCACCACATAAACAGAACTATAAACTATGAGCTCTGAAAAAGTTAACTGAGAGTTATGTGAAATGAGGATAAGGGAAATCTGAGCATCTTGCCTCTATCGAAAGAGAATATACGAGATTGCCTTAATAACATTATTGAACTAATGTTACCTTTTATAATGTAAGGACAGATAGTAACCTATCTCAGTATTACCTTTACTAACTGATGTTACCTTACGAACAATCTAATGTTACCTTTTTTTCCAACTCAATCTGCATCCTGTTTTTCACGTTTAAACCCAGAAACCTGTGCTTCTGGGACTTCTGAAAATCACTGTGAACTGTGGAAATTTCTTGGAGTCAGTAAATGTCACTAGTGTAAAGTATTACAATAAGAATTTCTATCTACACCCATTACTTATCACTCTCAGTACATAAAAAGTTATTTTTTACCTTTTTCACAGAAGATAATCGTGTACTTGAACTAGTGGTCACTCATGTTACATAACAATATCCCATCTTTGCTCTACTTGCATTTTTATTCGAAAAATCTGCTAAACTTCGTATTTTGTAGGAACAGCAGACCCCCCTACCATGCCTTTTACAGTTAGGAAAAAGAAAAGTCTATTAAAAACATTAAATAGAGCCATATTTGATAGTTCTTCCTTACAGTAGCAAACAGAAAGTTAACATACTATAGAATGTGGGGCAAGGTTTGCTTCATGTTTAAGGAAAGCATACTAAAATAGAAATTCTGAAAAATCTAAAAAAGTTTTAATTTACATAGAAGAGACTATCTTGAAGTGCTAATTTATTATAACTTCTAAATGCTTACAAGCACATAGCCTATGATGCAAGTGATAATAATAATAACAATAATAATAATAATAATAATCATGATCACAACATTGTATATTGTATAGTCAAATCAACTTAGAAGTCTAGTGAATCATTGAGTGATTTCTCATTTTAGTAGTCTTTTCAGGCAAAGAAAGGCTTTTTCTAAACTAACTTTCTAGAACTTTCAAGAACTTTATGAACTTCATTTGACCCTCTCACTGCAGAAATTTTGAAGCTAAATTATGGGAGAAAATTAGGGTTTTTCTTTTTGTTTACTGCTGTAGAGAAAAAGAAAGTTACAACTATTAATCAGGTATTGCAATATTAACATTTGAAATTACGTATTTACTATATGGACCAGATATTCTTGAAATCTCTCCTCTTTCAGCTCCAAGAATACACAAGCTTTCTCTACTGCCTTGAAAAGACACACACTGATAAGAAGCTGCAGATTTATGAATCTCCTTTGATGTGTATAAATATAGTAACTTTTTGACAAAAAAGGAACACTTATGGAATAATACCAGTTTTATCTTCATGCTTGTTTTAACATAAATGCATGCCTGCAATATTCACTAGTTGCTATAGAAAGCATGAAGATCTTTTATAAGCCAACTTTTCTTCCTGGCATCCCTAATCAGCTCCTTCTGTAGAACTCGGATAGCATATGATTCATGTTGCCAAGATTGCCTAAAAATATCTTTTATTAAAATTCATAGATCTTGCATACTTTTCTGCAAACAATTTACAATGGTGAATCTAATTATTACATAGACCTAAAGTATATCTTCTAAAGATGGCCACTGGTTCAATTTCTCTAAGCCTCAAGGTCCAATACAAAAATGTGCCATAACAGATACTTCACTGAAAATTTCTTCTTTAGGTATACATGTAGGCTTTCAAAAAGCAAGAATCTGACATTTAAAATATGTTTTCCTGCTCTTTTTTGTACTGCCTTTGCAAGTAGAAAATAAACCAAGCTATGTTAAATATTACAATAATTTTAATTTTAATTTTCATCATAAATCTCCAAATGTAGTACTGCAAAAGTAATAGTCTGATTTGAAAAGTCCTTTATTCACATCAGGAAGAAAGACTTTCCAGTTTTAGATCTCAAACAACATACTATTCTACCTGACAGAGTCATAATGCCAAAATAAACAATTTACTCATTTCATAATTCTTTGTCCTTCCAAACTAAAAAGAAAGTATCTGGCTTCACTGACTATGCCAGTTATCTTTCTGTGACACTAATAATTTGTAATGAAGTGCAAGGTTCAGAGGCATAATACTTAATAACTTGCCGTGGAGTCTTAATAACAAAACTAGAATAACTTGAGGAAATCAAAACATTAATAACAAAGCAGTATGCATTAAACTCTTGTTTATAGTGTGAATTAATAAAGTAGTAAAAAATGTATAAGTATAGAAAACTTTTTTCAAGAATAGTAGGGCAAGAAGCTTATCTTCTCTTTCTCTTATTTCATAAACAGTCTTTCACTATTAATTCACAATACAATTTAAAGTCCACAGTGAATCCCTAAAGTATATGCCATACTTATACTTGGATTTAGTTTACTCATAACTTAGATCTCTTGGCTGTCTTTCTCTATATTAACCTTGCTGCAAAATCCCACCAAGAACATATTTTCCTCCTCTTCTTTACCTGAGCATCAAACTTGGCATTTAAGTCTGTCCTGGAGCAAACTTTGCTGTGCACGTCTCCCTGCTGTTGGTCATCACTATTAACACATTTGTGACTGCCCCTGAACAAGGCACCCAGTCCTTCTGCAGCGTCGAGACATGAGAGCAAGTGAAGTCCTTGCACCTTTTAGATGCCTGGAATGTGCTGCTGTGGGATTAGCCTTGTTAAGAGTTCATGAACACTCACCCGCAGCCTCACAACACCGCTTGGTTTGAACACCTAATCTGACGCCAAAAAGAAACACAAATCCCCTGAGAGCTTGGATTTAACTGGCACTAGCCATGGGCTTTCCCCCTGCCCTGTTCTTCCTTCTTCAGAGAGCGAGCTTGTGAAAGTGTGATAAGGTGTTTCGAGTTCTTAAAGTTCAACCCAGGAAAACAAATCCTTCAAAAGACACAGTGTCCTAAACTGGAAAGAACCTGAGCACACAAGAAAGATTGTTAATCTCTGAAGAATGAAAACAGTGTGTTCACTGGGCAACTGTGAGAAATCTATACACAGTTTAAATATATTGCAATTAATCAACAATGGCATTTTTCGAAAGAAGCTGGGGTTTGTCACTGTTTTTCACTACAGTTGCTGTACTGTAGTGAATGTAACTTTTCAGAAAGTCATAAACATAAACCTTTGTCTTCCAGGACAGGCAACTGCATTGTTTTCAGCTTAATGAGAAGTTAGTAACTCAAAACATAACTAGAATTTTTACAAATCTGTGGACTAATTCTTTACTGTACCCATTTGATATAAACAGGGAAGAACATTTTTTATCTGAAGAGCACTTAGATTTTTTCTCAGTACATAGTAACTATATGTGTCCAATCAGTTACTTACTTCAGGACTTTTCCAAATATAATATATTTTTACTTTTCTTCTGTGGGAACATAAAAGAATGAGGAAGTATGGCAATGCAACCTGGAAGTAAACCACCTGGAAGCGGAAGTAAACTATCCGGAAGCAGAAGTAAACCAAACCGGAAAAAGGATGTGGGCAGTGACATGTGTGTAAGATAGTAACCAGTCATGTATTAGCTTAGACAATATGGACACATATGTAACCAATAGAAAAGTTTATGTAGGGTGACTAAGGGATTTTAGACTGTAAAAGCAGAGCTTCTGATAGAATAAAGGTCTTCACTTTATAACTCTCATAGAGTTATCTGGAGTCCCTTATGTGTCTCTCCCCCTCATTCCTCCCTCAAGATTGATGAATTCCTTTCTACTTCCTACATATGCATACATACCCTTCTTTCCTTTTCAGTAAGGCTGTACCTAATGCATAGAAAACAACCTGTCAGTCCTTGGCACTGATAAATACACAAGCACTAAACTATTCTGTATGTACATTAGCTCTGATACGTCCAGGATAAAAAAGGCTCAGCATATGCACAAACTTCTAAACTTCTTTTAACATCACACATGTTGAGAAGTTTCTGCTAGGCTGGCTAATCCTCT